AGATAATTTAACACCCACCTTAAGTCTACATAGAACATGTGCTTTGATAATCTCATCAAATTTGCAATTAATTACAAATTTTACAGACAAATTGGCATACAATAAAACTGAGGTATTTAGGGCCCTTGAGGATAAGGGGGTTTAGCTGCCCTGTTAACAGATCGGTCTTGACAAGATGCACACATAAAAACTATATTCATATATTATATTCATGGGATCATCAACAGAATATAACCTTGTGTTCATCCTAACATCATAACACAAAAGACCTAATTGACGTGTTGTGAAAATCTTAAAGTGCTCTGCTGCCCTCGTGTGGTTGAATTGAGGAGGCGCTGATGGGTCATTCAAACACTTATCAGTGTCTGCAGAGAAATAATTTACAGGGGATTGTCGCTACCAATGTTGAGACCAAACCAACGCCCTTGGACCTGCTGTTATTTCAGTTTTATCTTGGTAGAAGTAATTAGGCTATAACAAAAAGGCAGACTTGTGTAAGTAGCTAACTTTATTGGAGAGATGAATTTCCTCCATCTGCAACATCTTTTCTCTCCCTCCTCCAGATGCATCTTTGGATTGGTCATTTTTCCAGCTATCAAATTCATTTTAAATAAGCCTACAGTTTTAATGAAAATAGCCTATATCACAAATGCTATTTTAAAAATTAATACTAGTGGTAGGAGTAGGCTAGTAGTGGCAGCTGGTAGGCATTAGTATTTTTGGCCATAAACTACAGAACTACTTTACCATATTAGTTAACAAGAGACATATTAGGTCTATACAAATTTCCCTTATGCAAAATCAAATATTAATACAAATATGATAAATCTACCTTTTGCACATCGTATTAGATTAGCTCACCTTGTTGACACCAAGTTGACAGACAAATTGTCCCTTTCCCTGCCGGGGGTTTTCTGCCATTTCTCTTTGTTTGGCATCCTCTTCACTCCATTTTTAACAGATGCAACTGGAATTACCTCTTCGCAATCTGCGTCTCTGGCTGAACTAAATTGTCTCCAATAAAAGAAAAGGCTAATTAAGTGGATAATTCGGCTTAGACTGCTTAGCTTAAGTAGCTTTCAAATAATTTGGATTTTAGGCAAATTGATGCATTTAGGTGTAGGAACAATGCTGCAGTGGAAATATAACAAACTTTGTTGCACAGGTTACTTACCAACACATCCTTCTTGATCATTCTCTTTCTAAATATAGCGTATCATACGGAAACACTGCTAACACCATATTCACCTGGACCAGGTGAGCACGGTGTGAGAACCTTGCCGTAT